GCAATCTCTATTGTTAATTGTAACAATTTGGTGGAATGGCATCACCTAATTATACAACTACCTGCAGGGTTAGCATGCCTTTTCACTATAGCACTTGTATCCCCAGATCTTAGCAGAATAGTTGCCATAGAGCAGATGCTTGATAAACAATTGTTGAATATGCAGATACATTATGCAAGGGCTGAAGTGGTTTTGCTTATCTTTTTAGAACATTTGGTTTTATTCACCTATGCTATTATATGCCAGACTTGACATAGAAACTGAAATGTAATACAGTAAAAAGCAAAAAAAGTTACTTTGTTGTTGCTTTTATAACTAAATCAATGTTGCTGTTTCAAAGAATACCAATTAATTATGATTTGGGATACCAGTTTATCAGTTTATCACATGAATTTACCAGTCATGTGAAATGGTGGATGACAATATAACTCAGGAAAAAGGGAAGCTTTTAAGAGAGGTGTGATGGTTAATTCTAATTATCAGCTTGATTGGACTGAGAAATATTTAGGAGATTAGTACAGCACACCTCTGGGGGTGTCTGTGATGGTGTTTCCTTAGACAGATCATGAAGGCTCTGATCTAATGAATGGATTAATCCCTTGGTGGAGTCATATGATGGCATTATTGGGAGGTGGTGAAAGGCAGAAGAAGAGGGGTCTGGTTGGAGGAAGGAGGGGTGTGTCTTTGGGGGTTATATCTCGCCCTGATGATTTCCTGTATTCTCCTTTCTCTACTTCCTGGCCATCATGATGAGGGCTGCTCTTCTCTGTGACACCCTCCCTATCATGATGGACTGACACCACTGAAATTGTGAGCCAAAATAAAATGACTCCTTTCCTTAAGTTGTTCATGTCAGGTGTTTGGTCACAACAATGCAAAGTCTAACTAATGTAAGAAGAATATGCATATATGTGTATGTATGCATATGTGTGTGTATTTATTTATTTAATTTATTTCCCCAGTATTTCCTCTAGCACTGATTGGCTTGGGAATTTATGGGAGTAAATTTCTTGATCTCAGAGATCTCATTTGCAAACTGATATATAAATCACAGAGTTTCAAACATAAGTTTTAAATGAGATAAGGTGGCAAACTCCAAATGTCATGCCTGTGTTTGGCTCACGGTGGACACATGACAACAGTAGAGCTTTGTATTATGACTACCATTTTACCCTTGCTTATACAATAGTTCTTCTGCACTTCTTTGGTGGTGGGGGGTAGGTAAAAGGGCAGGGGGAGTAGCAGTGACCTGAAATTCCCTCCAAATCTTCCTTGTGTCATGGAAATCTTCTATGACAGATTCATGGTGGCAGTCCAGCCCAGCATCAGAGGGGCTTGCAGTGGAAGACAATTGTTACCATTGGATGGACTTTCACAGAGGAGTGTCTATGTGCTTACATGGAGAGTGATCTCACCCATTTCTGTCAATTCCAAAGAAAACCAAACAAAATAGTCTGCCAGTGGCAGGCTTCTGCAGAGACTGAAGGATGGTCCTATTTCTCAGATTTCTTATCCAGCAAATGAATTAAATAGTTCATGAACTTTAAACTCATTCCCAACTGGAACTTTCTATGTGTATATAAAAAAGGAAGGGGATTGTAGAATCAAATTGAAACAAGGAAGGATAGCAAAGGAATAAAGACAAGAGAGTGAGGAAAACACCATGACATCAAATGGCTGATTTTCTATGTATGTAACCCCAGGGGCCGTGAATATCTGGTGGCAGGGCAGATTACAGAGAGAGCTTACCATCTGTGCTTTGCAATCAGTCCTCTCCCTATTCTAGTTTTTCTCTTTGAACTGCAGGCTTCAATTTACAATGAAGTTGAATTTATTTATATATTCAATAAACATGTGAACCTATTTCACCAGGAAGTTGTTAATATACATATTCATGGAAGAATGGCCTACTCCTTTAGTGTTTCTACAGTAGTTTATTGAATAATAGAAAAATCCTCTTTTTGGTCCTGATTTTTCATACAAAAAAATATGCCTATTCTAGACAAAATCATGGGTATCTTAGTCTCCTCCAGTGAACTGCACCTGGGTGTTCTCATCCTGATTGTCAGGAGCAGGTATCACCTCTCTGCACAGTTTCAAGATTCAGTTCCATCACATTCATGGCCAATTCAAAGCCCTCAGGTCTGGGATTGGGCCACTGACAGGAAAGTCAACTCTATTGAGCACAGAGCCATGGTTCACAACTAGAGAGACACAAACATCCAGAGGCACAGGAGATATTATGGAGCATTTGTGAACACTGAGCATTGCCTCAAGTTAAATAGATTAGTAAGTATTCAGGGGTATGTGTTATTTTCCCACTGGATGTAGTTGTTAATGTACAACTCATAGCCATATAAAATCTTTACCTAAATCGGAACTACATAATTTAAAAGATGTAAGTGGACAGAGAATTACAATGGTATAATTGTGAACAAGTGCATATGTTTGTGGGTGTGTGTGGAGAATTTACATTAAAAAGTTACTTTTATCATATAATTTGGGAACTAATGTTCTAAGACTTGTCACATGTGGAATTAAGAGCTTCCTGCAAACATTAAGCAAAAGATGGAATGCTACCTAAGTCTATAAGGTGATGAAATCAAGAGGATTAAATGAAAGAAAATATACAATGTGCTAAGCACATTGAGAACCAACAGCGAGCACTCAATCAATTTCCATTGTTACCGTTATTAGAAGTTATGAGTTAGTGACTTTTCCTAATGGAAAAGTATGGATTTGCATGTATTTATATAAACTGGCTAACTAGTAAAAGTCATTCCAAACCCCAAACAAAGCAGAGTGATTAAACTACTCTGGCTCTCATAAAACTGAGTTCACACTCATCCCCTATGGTCTTTGATAATAGGAACTATTCCATTATGCAGTACCAGAACAAGAATGTGAATTTTTATGTGAAGAATTGGGAGAGAAAATGGAGAAAGAAACAATCAAAATTCTGGAAGTTAAAGTGTTACTTTGTGGGAGGGAAAGTATTAATTTCTTAAATGAAATCTGACATTAGATTTATGATACTAGAAATAATGATATTTATATTCTGTTTTATGTTTATAGAATTCTTTCATAGAAAGCTATAGCAGGAGATTATCATTTTTCCTTATTTTGTACATTAGGAAACTAAACCTTAATAATGGCTACTTGATTTAAGGCCATATAACTAGAAATAGTAGAGCTGTAATCAAATTCAGGTCTTACAATTTCAAGGCAAATGGTCTTCAAAATGGCATGGGACATATCAGGCATTATGAAACATGCCCACTATCTAAAGATAATCATAACTCTGAATGAATAGGAATGAACTTGACTTAGACAATTCTAAGACAAAGAAGACGATCATTACATGAAATGAAATTATGGTAAAGAATATTTGGCACAGCCTATAGTGAGAATAGATTTTATATGGGATTGTGTGTGTGTGTGTGTATTTTGTTTTAATATCCCACTTCTGTGATATCACTGAGTGTGTCACTCTAGGCTTATAGAAAGGAAGGCAGAAATAAGTTTAAATTGCCTTATTCCTTAAGGTAAAGTATAGCAATTGTGCTAATTGGCAAATAAAGTCTCAAAAAATGGCTTCCAGCTTTAATTAGTGGAACAGTTTAAATGTATTAAAGCCATCATGGACTTGTTTAAAAGAGAAAAGCTTTATTATTGAAGTATATAACAAGCTCAGGACCAGAAGAAAGTTTAATTATTCATGCCTAGATAATGCAGATAAAAGTAAATGTAATTAAATGCAACCGTTCTTTAATGAAAATTATAACCATAATTGAATTTTGTATTTAAAGGTAGAGATATTAGTTAAACAAATGATGTTGGAGCTCCAGTTTTCTGATCCACTCTCTTTAATTATGCTCAGTCTTTTAACACATGTGTCTCCATTTCATGTACTCAAAAGATTGTATCTTTGCAAAGCATTTAAGAGTTTTCTGACTGACAAAATAAAGTAGGCTGGCAGTTTGAAAGAAAGTCATGTCTGGCTTCTGACAGGATTTCAGCTTTAGAAGTCTCTACAAGGTCTGTATAAATGCCAGCCCTCAAAAAAGCTATTCAACCTTTTTTTTTTTTTCTGCCTAACTACATCAAGACAAACCAGGATTGTAGAAGTTTGGCAGGAGGAGGAAAAAGGTCAAATTACACAGAAAGCATTAAGGTTCTCTTTTACCAACATCAGCCAAGGGTGTGCATTGACAAGAAAACATAATCTAATAGAAATTAAGAGCAATGACTCAAGACACTGTTCACTACAGACGGGCTGGCTCAGGTGGGAGGGGTGAATATTATGTAACAAATGTGGAAACATACAGCCAAATAAAAATTTTTGACTGGTGAATATATGTAGGAAATTTGAATAATTAAATTCAATAAAGGGAATAAGTTAATCCCCAAATGGTCTAACTCTCAAGCCATTTGTTTAAAAGCTATTTTATTGTTTTATTTGTCAGATTTTATTTTATTTATTATCATATTAACACTGGAGGTACACTGTGATATTTAGAAAAGTGCTTAAATTCACCCCCTCCACCATTCCACCATATCCCCCTCCCCCCATTCCTGGGACAGTTTCAACAGGTCTCATTTTTCCATTTTCATACATGAGTACATAATATGTGCACCATATTCACCCTCCCTAGACGGTGTAAGAGATATTTTAAAAACATTTCAAAGACTTTAAAACTGATGAGTTAATTCTTTTTAAAAAGTGAAAGGAGCAATATTAGTTCTAAAAGAGAGATTTATAGTAACAGAAAGCACATTAGTAATCATATTTGTGTAGCTCATTTACTTGCATAAATACATTTTCCTGAATTATTTTTAGGGTTCCCTTTTCCCATCAGTGTATCTGAGAATAGTGTACCATGAATCTAGAAAATTCTCTGAAGAGAAAGTCTGAATAACTGAATTTAAAGCATCCTCTATAAGGTATTTTATAATGAAAACCCACTAGCAATGACACAGCAGGTCCCACTAGTGCTTACCGTCTCCGGGATCCACGATCTCCACAGTGGTCACTGCAGGGAACTCCAGGGCGGCCAGCACTGGCTCTGATAGAACCACCTGGAAGGTCTCGGACTGCTCGTGCTCCCCATCACTCAGAATCCGAACTCTCCACGTGGCCCGGGTCTGGCCGGGGTTGAACTGCACTTGCTTCTGGGCTTTGCCTTTGAAGTCTTTGTCTTTTTCTGCTGTCCCATCTTTTGTGCCAATACCTCCATAGAAAGATGATATCATTTGCTTACATTCATTTCAGATGGGCTTATTACTTTTTCTTTTCCTGCTTAGTTCTGGGAATTTAATGTAGGCCTCATGCCTACTGCTAGGCAAGTGACCTGCCACTGACCTATATACCCCAGCTCCTAGGATCATTAACTCTTTACAGTTGGATTGGTAACTTAGTTTTTTTGCCACTTGTCCTATGGAGCACAGTAGATCCTGCTTTGACTGCATGAAATGAATAATTGAGTATGGGTCTGATGATGAAAGTGTTCTATTTATTGCAGGTGTGGGATAGTGTATGATTCTGTTCTATTCTTGATCCATATGATATGGCTGTATTTTCTTTGATCTTATTTTGTGTTACAACTTCATGCAAAACAAGACAGTAAATTTTCATTCATGTTGTATAATATCCAGAATCCTACAAGTTCATAAATCTTAACTCTTCTCATTGACTTTTCCATATATTGCTGTATGTTGTAAAAACATAAGAAATATTCTCTGACTAGAAAATACAAGCCAATAAGAAACTCTGTGTGTCAAAGAACTCTCTGATAATCTAATTCATAAATGGCCACACAGAATAATAAAACTTATAATATTCTTTAAACATTTGATGGAACTAGGACCCTTAAGAGAATCTAATTCAGTGCTTATCAACATGGTCATTGTCAGGTGTCTCTTTGTGGAACTCTCCAGAATTCCCTGAATCCATGTGAACAGAATTGGAAAGCTAAATATATATAGTAATTATGAGCAGTGTGCTTGGCTGACTCTGATGGTTCACTCAAGGTCAATTCCAGTTGGCTGGAAAGGGGGAAGTATCTCTAACTGCATCACAAGAGAATTGTCACCATTATTATGCCAGGTACTCAAACCATAAATAACTTACTTGTAATATTTCTTTCTCTGTCTTTTTTTTTTTTTTGATGGGACTGGGTTTTGAATTCAGGGCTTCATGCTTGCAAAGCAGGTGCTCTACTGCTTGAGCCATAGCTCCAATCCATTTTTCTCTGGTTATTTTGGAGATGAGATCTCAAGAACTATTTGCCCAGGCTGGCCTCAAACCATGACCCATCCAATCTCAGCCTCCCAAGTATCTAGGACTATAGGTGCGAGCCACTGGTATCCCATAATATTTCTCATTGAATTGAAGACATTATCATATTTTTGGAAAATTTCATTTGTTCTTCAAATTTGAAATGGAACTTGGCCAAATAATGATTCATCCAACCACAAATGTTCATTGAATAGTTAGTATGAGACTTATCAAAGAACAAAGCAGGCAAAAACCTTTGCCCTCTAACTGCTTACACACATTAATTTGAATATTTACTTCTTCACCTGAGCAAATCACTGACTGTTAGTTTAATGTTAAAATGAGGATGAAAATAAGTTTTGTTAAGAAATATTTGTCTTATATGCCTCAGAAAATAACAGAGATAAATACTGCACTGTATGTTTCTTTTTCAGTGGTGGGTGAACCATGATTTATTTAGTGGCAACAGGAAAAAGGGCACAGGAAAGGAATTACAGAGCTGCATATCTGGTGAATGCTGGAGACAACCTGTTAGCTCTCTGAGTCCTAATGCACACAGAGTGGTTGTCAACACCTCTTAGATTCACCACAATTCACACCAAGGTGCAGATGGAAGGAATCATTCTCTGTGAGGTTCAAGAGCAGATCCTGCTCACTGACCCATCTGTCTCCAAGGGGCATGGCTGGCAAAACCCTGCTACACAGCCTCTGATAGCTTTTGCCTGCTTTTCTATGTGGTTGTGTTTTCTTCTATCAGCAACACATTCTTTTTCTGTAGATTTATAAGGCAGTTAAAAACAAAAGGAAAGTGTATAATATAGGAACCATTCACTAGTTCCAACTGGTTATCTTTACCACATGATAGTGAATTCATCCAACCCAATAAAGCTTAAGTTCTACTTAAACACACCTATCACCTTTCACTTTGTTATTATGTGAAACTACCATTGCCTATTTTTCTCTTACATGGAGAAACAGCACAGGGGTTAAAGCAAGGTCCTTGTGGAATGAGAGAACAGATTTTGTATCTCTTCCTGTCACACAGCTATGAGATCATGGGCAAGTTATTAACTTCTCTCAGATCTCTCAGACCCTGTGGTGCAATGGTTAAGGGTGCAGGCTCTGGAGCCAAATCTCATTTCTATCTGTTACTTGCTATATAAATTTTGGAATATCATAATTTTTCTGTTTCTTCACATGGAATATGGGGGATAAAATGGTATTCTTCTCCTGGGGCTGACCTACGTAGGATACTGAGAATTGTGTCTTGCAAATAATAAGAACGCAATAAACTTAGCTATCATATAGTCCATGCAACACAGCACCTGTCACATAATGAACACTCAAGGAAATGCTAGTTGAGTTAGTGAATAAAGGGCTATTATAAGGAGTAAGAGACACAGGGAAAGTGCTTAATGTGCTTAATGAAGTGTCTTGTCTTTACTAAATGTTCAATAACTAGTAAAAAATAAGGTCTCTGAGATGCACAGATTGCTGTGGAATACAAATCCATATTTAATTTATTAGCAGATTATAAGGGTTACAAAATGAATAATCATCTTTGAGAAAACACATATACAAATTTTATGTAATTCAGGATTTCCTAACCATGTTCAAATGACAACTGTCTTTAACTTAATGCAATCTAGCTCATTCTAAAAGTCTTTAAGTAAAAGTGGACATTGTATGGTGACAGCTCTGTGAAGCATCCTCATTATAAACTATCTATGAGGCTACCTTAATTTGACTTCCCTTCCAGGCACTAGATGAATTCTAGGAACTGTCTTCAATGAATGCAGACATGGGTCACACACAGAAATCTTTCTAAATTTCAACAATCCTGATTTGCTAATTAAACATGTGAGATTAACCAAGTCTCCATAGAGACTTTAGAATTGCTGGTATTTCCACATTTGTAGGAAATAATAGTCATTTGAAAAACAATAACTTATAAAAAAGAGCTCTGGCTTGACACTTTAGTATTCAGCTTAAGAAAAAAGGGCAGTGAAAGAAAAATTAAAATAAAGACAGTTTTGTACATCTTTTCCAATTATTAACTTTCTCTTAGCTATCTATAGGCTGGTAAATGAGTAATTAAACTCCTGAGGGGTGAGAATAAAACACAAATAGATGAGAAAATCATTAATAGTTGCTAAGGTGCTATTTTTTAATTATCCTTTTCCATGCAATTTATTTTCAATCACAAAGCACAGTTAAGGCTAACCTTTCAGTGACAAGAGGACAGGATCTACAGAGTATGTTTGCAGAGAGAACATGTCCCTAAAAGGGAGCACAGAACTTCACTATGCCCTAGAAGGTAAAACACGGAGTGTAAATGACATCCAGGCAGAAGAACACACAAATAAAGAAGATGGAAACAGAGCTGCCCGACTCTGGGTGGGACTGCAGGTGTTTATTCATTTATACAGTAGTCCTCATGTATACTTTTTTACTGATTTTTAGCAGACTTTTATGTTATGGATAAACTACAGATTCACTTAAACTTATTCTAATCTAGTGATATTTGTTTTTGTTTTTTAACTTATGAGTGATTACTTCCAGTTTCTAAAGTTAAAAAAAAAGCACAAAGTATTTTTTAAATAATAAAAAATGAGTGTAAAGAATCTGAACATGTCTGGAGAAGTCACAGGGCTTGGCAGGACATTGAGGTTGTGGCAAAAGTATGCTACTGAGAGAGAGAGACAGAGGAAGAGGAGGAAGAGGAAGAAGAAGAAGAAGGAGGATGAGAAGGAGAGAAGGAAGAAGAAGGGAAGAGAGGAAGAGGGGAGGAGGCCATGAGAGTGGAGGAGGAAGAGAGGAGGACAAAGGGAGAAGAGAGGAGGGGAAGAGGAGGAAGGGAGGGGAGAGGAGAAGAGGAGATGGGAGGAGGAGGAAAGGGAGGAGAGGGAAAAGAGAGAGAGAGAGGGAGAGAAAAAGAGAGAGAATATCTTTCTGTTGATAGTAATCTACTGGTTAAGGGTTGATGGACCACTAAAATTTCAAAATAATTACAGGGCTCCTAATCTTTTGTATTGTGGACATTTCCCTAGATTCCTATCTTAATTGATAGTCTCACTCAGAAAAGCTCTTTTACCATATAAATTCTACCAGCCTAAATGTCTATATTTAATATATGGTACCAGGGGGTACTGCCATTTTCATTAATGCATCAAATATTTTGTGCCAACTATATTACTGCTTCAAATTACCCAGATACCTCCTTTTCTCTATTTTGTGCTTATATGAAATAAAATATGAACTTAAATGAGTTGGAAACTGGAGTTTATTCATTTTCTTTTAATTCTCAGTTTTAGTTAAAAGAAATAAAGCAGAAGAAAATGATAACTATTTAACATTTTAATGTTGGTTGCAAAGAAAAATGGCAGCATAAATCTTGAATGTAGTACAGCGGTATTCGTGGAGCTTTTAGTGAGTACCATAGCATTCAAATGCAGCATGCAAGTAGTAACTTACACTTTGATGTCTGATAAATCACTGAATAGTTTTTTGTTTATTTATAACGTAGTCCTTATGTGTGTTTTATACTAATGCTTTAGCAGACTTTCACTTTATGAATAAATTAAAGATTTACTTAAGATTATTGTAATCTAGTGATAATTCATTTTTTTTGAACTTGTGAGTGATCAATCCAGTTTTTCAAAGTTATTTTTATAACAGAGGAAGATAACATTTAGGTAGAAGGCTTGAAGAGGTACTGACTGTAATATAAATTTGTTGGTATTTTGTTTTTTAGCAGTTAAAGAATCTTTAAATATCAATATCTATGTATTTAAACCAGATCAGTGAGTTAAACTAGTATTTTAATCACTGTAGAAAAATTAAGCCTCTACTAGAAAATTGGGATTTTTGAGATGGAAGTACAAAATTTAACTTACTTATAAATGAGGTTTCTCCCAAGTAACCTCTGCGTTTAAGAATGACATCAAGAAATTTGGAGTCCTCATTGATCAGGTAATATTCCTTCTCAAAGGAGATCCATGCCCAATTCAGACGAAAGTGCTGGTTGGTTAACTTGTTTCCACCTGGAAAATAAAAAAATTAAAGCCTTATATTAATGCTTTCTTGAATGAGTGACCTTAAAAATTCCACAGGCAACTTTAGTGATGCAAATTTAAGAATCAACATGGCTATTTGGTTTGATACACAACTCTAAAAAATGTACATGGAGATACAGTCTACTGTTCAGGGTTGTTATATAGATACACAACAGTTGACATAATCCTTCACAAGGTCCTTGCTCTTTTAGGAAGGAAGGTTGGTAAGTGAGAAGGAGCCCAGAACTAAGTACTAGAAGCAATTTACTTCAATTATAAAACTGAATACCCACGTTGCAGGATGACCTACTTTCCAGCAGGTGCCGCTGGAGAGCAAGTTTCTCTACAGAGATGGCTGCAAGGCTCCTTTGTGATGTTTTTAAAAACACACACAACTTCACAAAAACTTCTTTCTGGTTCATAGAGCAATTGGGTGGAAGGCTTTAATTATAACCACTTAAGGAAAAACAAATATCCCTTTTCAACCTCCCCTTCCCCAAGGATTCCACTCCATTCCTCAGAGCAAACAGACAGCTCTTTCCGTTGATTCCATTCCACTCTGAAGATAAGGCTTTCTCCTCCCACCTTCCCACCAAAGTGGAGTTGGCTGCCTATTTGGAGAAAATAAACCTTGCGTGTGATCTCTGTAATGTGAAAGCTACCCTGTTGGGTAAATGAAAGGAGAAATGATTATCAGCTGAACACTCTGCACCTATCCCTCCAGTTTTTTTGATCTACACCAATTATTTCAGAGTAAGGTGAGGTTTATAAACAAAGTCATCAGTAATTCCTTTTAAGTCTTTCTGGAAAAGGGTAGGCGGAAAAAAAAAAGCCCAAATAATAAACATAGCTAGAGGCACAATTTAATTCTGGTTTCTTCTCTTCTGAGTTCACATAAAGAAAGAGCTATAGTAGAGAAAAAGAAATGAGATGGGGACTAGCAAGGCTTTCTACATAAAGGGAAATAAATAAAAGAACAAACACATGCAAATATGCTTCCTTCTATTTATTTATTCATTTGTTGTTGTTGTTTTTTGGTGGTGCTGGGGTTTGAATGTGGGGCCTTATGTTTGCTAGGCAGGCGCTCTACCACTTCAGCCACTCCTCCAGCCCATCTATTTTTCTTTTTCTTAAATAAAATTACAGTGACTGAGCTACTGATACATAATAAAAATTAAAGAGACTACCCAATACAGCTGAGATTAGGTAGGGAAATTAGTTTTATTTATTGCTGTTTGCCTTGTAAATTAGCATAAATTTTTTATGTAGCCATATGACAATGTGTGTTTGCCTTACAGAGTTCCTTTCTCTTTTGCCCCATTTCCCTACAGCTGTTGCATACACCAAAGCAGCTCTTTGGTAATTTCCAGGTTCGCCCTGATCTACCCTGGTTCTTTTCCCACCCTCTACTCCGTTCACTCAAAGGTTAACCAAGATTCTTTCAACTCCAGGGATTTGTCACCCTTGCTCCTCCAGACACCCCTTGTCCTCTTGCCTAGAATCTTCTTTGGTTGACACTTTTCACCCTCCATTCTTCTTTTCTCCACCTTCTTCCTGAAGGCTCTATGATTCCACAGCAGCTCACATCATTTCCTCTAAATAATTGTGCACCTTAGTGGATATTTCTCATACAGTTTAATTAAACAAATTTATGCAGAAATTGTGAGTGTCCATTGTTTTTTATTACTGTCAACATTTCATCAATTAAATTAAGATATAAACCAGGGCTGATTTCTAAGTAATTGTTACATGAAAACAACTTTATGTCACATTTCTGTTCAATTAGATTGTGGTTCCAGTAAATTAGGTTTTACTCCAAGCCTTTTGGCATATTATCCCAAGATATTCCTTGTCTATCCTAACTCCCATGGGTTTATATATCACTTCCTTTTGAAAATTACTACTTTAATCATACATATTTGTGGGGTATTTGGTACATATATGTATGTGTATGTATTTGGTACATATATGTATGCATGTATATATCATATATATAATGTGTAATGATTAAATCAGAGTAGTATTTCCATCCCCTTAAATATGTTTTAAAGTTTTTTTGATATGATTACTAGAGGCGGAGAAGGGTGATTTGGGGGCTGTTAAAGGAAGGTAGGGTAATTTCCTGTTTCCTCTCACTGTAACATGTGACCTCAGAGGGCAGGGAGTTCATTTTGCTTATTGTTAGAAAAACGGCTGTTGACCGAGGTAGAAACTCTATCGTCTTGACTGAGATAAGTTGAGTTCATTTATTGGGCAGTATAAATTTCTATATAAATGTAATCTATCTTAGTATTGAATCTTTTCATTAAAAATGTAATTGTGATACACTTTTTCTAAAATATCTTGCAAACTTGGACACTGTGTAAAGATTTTAAAGTGATTACCTATGAGTATGAATTATTGGAATTTGTGTTTGCATAAATAACACCCTCAGGGATTATTGGTGACTAATGGGCTCCCATTCCACTATAGAACAGCCTGATGGTGGTAGGGATACCTGCCTACCTTAATTTCACAGTCACTTAAAGATTAGTAAAACTTACTTTTAGGTTAGTGCTTACATTTCTCAAAGGATGAAACTCCCTGTCAAGAAAATATCAAGTTACTGGTTAATCAGAGGTTTTAAATGATCTATAGCTGGACAGGTTTGCCTTATTTTACACATCCACTCACCACTTTGGGCTTTCATTTGAAATAAAATTCACAAATAATATCAAGAAGCTTTGCTTTGTAGAGTGAGATGGTCCAGGTTAATTATGATTGCAACTTAGAATTCATTCTTAAACTAGGATTTTAAACTAGATTTTTATCTACAGAATATGAAGTTAAATCTATAAAGCTTAACTCTGAATACGATTAAATACTACATAATTTCTGAACCATACACATGTGAGTGATATTTAACTTCAGAACTTATAAAATTTCAGCTCTCACTTATTATGCAGGAGTGGTATAGGGATTTGGGGAACTAAGCTGTAGCTTATTTTAACTCCCTTTATTAAAACTGTGATCTTACATAATTGAACTCTGTATTTTAACTAAAGAATGGAAAGCTACCTTACTGACTCATTTCACATACCACATAAACTCCTCTAAAACCTAAATGAATGTGAATAATAAGTGTTAATGCTTTAACCAAAGCTATAGCTTTCTGAATTTGAAAGTTTAGATGAAATTAAACAACTTAAAAACCTGACCAAACTTTTCTTTACATGTGATTAGTTGCCTTTCTAAAATAGATCTTGTCATCTCTGATGCCTGAAGAGCTAGTCTCAAAGTCTCATTGGAACAAATTAAAGTCCATAGCTTGTGTCATAAATCCACACAACAGGTGCCTGACAGCTGATAACCATACTCCCAAATGCTTTGTCCCTAAACTCTGACACTAAAGCCATTAACGTTTTGATGAAAAGACCTCCTTTGAACTTTTCCAGCTGGCCTTTAGGCTTCTTCATTTTCTTTTTCAATTCAACCCCTATAGTTATTTTAGAATAACAAAGAATCCCAATCTTCAATTAGCCCTCCCTAAAAACACAGGGCTGCCTGACTTCTTTCTAGACAAAGCCCACTTTTTCAGTAATGAGACACCAATGTCACACTTTGACTTGCATTTGTTGAAGAAGGGTGCCTGTTTAGCTTTGCAAGAAATTTCTTCTTGGACAAATGTTAGTTACCAATGAAGAATGCTATTGGTATTTTCTAGCTTGGTAAAATTTCATTAGCTCAGAATAAAGTTCAGTTTGGCAGCTGAATTGGAAATCAAATATGTAGCTTCTTAAAAAAAAAACCTAGATATAGCCTTATAAATGAGCAATAGAAATAGATATTCTAGGGTTGGAGATATAGCTCTGTGGTAGAGCGCTCACCTAGAAATAGATGTTTGTATTAAAAATGATTAAGATGCTAGTACCTAATTTATTGGGGGAAATTAGACAATTTGACTTTTAAGCAGATTTTAAATAGTCTTTTTCCCTTAGAGGGTAAAGCCAGTGATTAGCAACCATGCAACCACCATGAGGATCAGAGTTAGCAATTATGGTGAGAATATAAAATAAAGGTTAACATATTTTTTTTTTCTGTGATAGGATGAACTTTTCTTAAACTTGGCTTTGTCTTTGGAATCTTCCATGTCTTTGGAATCTACCAGCCCATGGAATCCTGTCCTCTGGCTCTTAATGTCATGTTGATTTTTACTATTTTTTGAAAACCACCTGGTGCAAAGCTGAAGCCACCTTTGCTGTCAGTGGGAGCCTAGGATTGACATTCAATTATGGGAGATGGGACATTCACAGAGATGATGTGTGTAAACTTAGAGACTGGCAAGTGCTAGAAGAGGCACTGATATTGAGCTGTGGGAATTCATAAGAGTGAGGGATTGATTTCACTTCAGGGGATCAAAAGCAAAGTTATGAAGACAGAGTGTTTAAGTGTGCCTCAAGCACAGGATTGTTTTTGGACATTCTTCTGGGGTCCTAAGAGGAAGGTATTCCTGGAAGATTAAGAATAAGACCATAAGGTTGGTCTGGTGGCTCATACTTGTAATCCCAGCTACTTGGGAGGTAGAGAAAAGGAGGATTACAGTTCCATGCCATCCCAGGCAAAAGGTTAGGGAGATCCCATCTGAGCAAATAAGCCACGTGTGGTGGCATACATCTTTGGTACCAGCTATGGGAAGGCAATAGGATTTCAAGTAGGTTGCAGTTCAGGCTGGTCCCAGGAAAAAATGTGAGATCTTGTCTACAAAATAACATAAAAGGCAAAAAGATCTGGGCCCTGAGTTCAAACCCCAATACCATAAGAGAAAGAAAGATAGAAAGAAAGAAAGAAAGAAAGACAGACAGAAAGAAAAAGACCAGAGATAAGAAATCCAGTAAAATTCAATTTGATAGGAGGTCAGGATATTTGCTAAATATTAATTTCCTCTCCTTTTCCTATTTAAGAGATTTGATATTAGAGGCAAAAAAACAGTAATTGAGGGGTACCCAAAG